AAGCCTTTTTTTGACAATAGGGCAGCCTGCATACCAAAGACAACCTGTACCTCTCTGCCTTCCTCTGCAGCCCTTGCCACAACCCCACCACCTCTCCCGGTCGTGCACTGCAGCCAGACCATCTATGGATGCTGCCCAGACAATATGACCTTGGCGCTTGGAGTGGGCGCAGCTGGATGCCCAAGTAAGTGAATATTGTGTTCCACCTGGGGAGGGGCAGGAAGAACCTTCAAGGATGGCTGGAAGGCAGGGAGAGATCAGGTGGAGGGGGGACTTGGGGTCCCATGCCAGGGGAAACAAAGGAAGGTGGACACCCCCCCCCCCGTTCCTTAGCTAACTAGTGACCTCCCAGGCTCAAAAAACCTTCATTTATCCCCAGCTCCAGGCACACGTGGAGATGTGCTCGCACGCTTCGCCTTCTGTGTCTACTAGTGATGCTCTTGTCCCTTCAAAAGCCCTGAGTCAACTTCCAGGTCTAGGTCCCTCGGAAATGCAGGAAGACAGGATGGTGGCTCAGAACTTGTCTGGTGCTGAGTCCGTGCTGGATGCCCCAGAAGATGCCCCTAGGGCCAGATAGTGCCCTCTGAACTTTCAACCTATATCTAGAAGCTTAGGGCTTTTTACCAGCCTGAGTGACAAAAATATTGCTTGTATCCTTGCACTGCATGCTGAGGTGGAGCTGAGCTTTCGGGTTCACCTAGGGACCTTCTGCAGGCCACCCCAGGACCAGTGACTAGTGGGTGACTGCACTGTGCAGGAAGCCGAGCTGGCAAATGTTTCATTAATATTTATTAAATAATTATCGGAGTCAGCACTTTAGCAGAAGGCACGTTTTGAAAGGCATTAGCAAACTCTTAACAGCTGAGGCTGTGACTGCCTGTTAGGGAAACACATTACCCCATGGAGACACGACTCACGCCGTGCTCGGGCCTGGCTAATGCCTGCTTGATGAGGATGTAGTGCTGTTTAATGTGCCGTATAATTTAAAAAGCACCAGCATTCGGAGAATGTCCAGAGATCTCCTGGCAGGGGGTGCGCGGGGCGGGCGGTGGCGGGCGCTGGAGGAGCAGACGTGTGGTGTGTGCTGGCCAAGGGGGGCCAGCAGCGCAGGGAGGAGCTGGTCACAGTGACGCTGGGGAGGAGACAAGCCTTTCGCCTTCAGCATCGCCCTGCCAGTGGTGGTTGGTGGTGATGGTCCTCGATGTCTCTGATGGAAGTCCTGTCCCCTGCCCTCCGGTCCGTGGGCACAGCTTCCCAACTGACTGGGGTTCAGTATCCCACCAGTTTCTGTCCCACCTGTGTCCCTGTGTTGGCAGCAAGCATACATCAGGGGGTAATTACCACTTAACCAGCAGCTTGAAGCCCCTAGGGCAGATTTGTCCGTTGCTGCCTGTTCAGGACGTGCGGTTTCCCTGCCTCTGGCAGTCTGGGATTGTGTGTCTGCACCCTGCTTGCTGCTCCCAAGCTCTCCCTTTCTCTCCAGCTCTGCCCCACATCCCCTTTCTGCTGCTCCCTGTGGATAAAGGGAGCGTCTCTCTGTCTATCTTTGGATCATTTCCCTCCATCAAGTTCCTAATTAATGAATTAATAATAAACTTCTAATAGCTTCCTCCCCCTTTGATGTTAATGAGAGAGGAGTTCTTGATGACAGCAAAGCAAGCGGGTTAATCCCTGAGGGTTTCGTTCCCCCTTGTAGCTGAGGCAGAGAAGAAGCGTCGAGAGCAGCTGGTGAAACCTCCTCCTGCCTGGCGTGAGACCCCGTCCCTGCCCTGGCTGAGCAGCTCGGTGGCTCAGCAGTCGGTCCCTCCGCCTCGATGCAGCCCCCGGCATCGTCCCCCCGCCCCGTCCTCGGCCAGGACTCAGCCTCACGCTGTCTCTCTCTCTCTCTGGCTCGCAGGTACCTGCCAGTGCAACCCCTATGGCTCCTACGGGGGAGCCTGCGACCCTGCCACAGGGCAGTGCTCCTGCAAGCCAGGCGTGGGGGGGCTGAAGTGCGACCGCTGCGAGCCCGGCTTCTGGAACTTCCGCGGCATCGTCACCGACAGCAAAAGCGGCTGCACGCGTGAGTGCGGGCAGGGCTGGGCCGGCGCCCCTTGTCCTGCACGACTCTGCGGGGTATCGTGCTGTTTAAAACAACGAGCCCTAATGTTGGTCCTATTGTGAGGCACCTCCAGCGGGTGGTTTTGCAGAGCTTGATGACTTGCTCCATGCAAGAGAGACAGGGTGGCCTGAAGCGTTGCATGGGTGCCGTTGCTCCCCGGTGGTGCAGCTTGGCTAGGACATGGGGTCTCCTTTCACCCCTCCCTGGCCAGATGTTCTGCAGGGCTGCTTGAGCCCAACGTGAATGAGCCCTGGTGTCCCCGCGTGTGTCTGTGGGGCAGATGCAGGATCACAAGCCCCAGGACAGTGGTCAGACGGTAGTGGGTGGAGGCAGGTTCCTGCAGCTGGTGTGGGGTCAGTAAGTACAGCGTAGCAGTCAGCATTATGGTCCTCCCCTGGACCCTTCTCCTTGCTCCTTTTGAATTGCTGGGGGGGGCTGAGCGAGACTGCTCTTGGCTTCACAAATCCACCAGCAAAACAGCGTCTTTTTTCCCTTCTTGCCCAGCCTGTAACTGTGACCCGGTGGGCTCAGTGCGTGATGACTGTGAGCAGATGACTGGACTGTGCTCCTGCAAGACTGGTATTACTGGCATGAAATGCAACCAGTGCCCCAACGGCAGCAAGCTGGGCATGACTGGCTGCGAGAAAGGTGAGGGAGGCACGTACCAGAGGGGTTGCGTGGGCACTCGGGTACTGCTGCAGGGCAACGTATAGACCCATGAAAGAAATACCTCCCTCCCATCCTGAGTGCTTGCGCTTTGGGAGGAAGGTGCCCTGGCCTCCGCTCCTGGCTGGGTTCCTCTTATCTGGGCACCCGTGCACAGCACGAGGGGCTGTTTCTCCGTTTGGTGAAAGTCTCTCTTGTCCACTGGTCTGAACTGCTCTGGTGAGCCCCTGGGAGAGCTAAGACCCGCTGGGAGGAGAGAGGGATTTTGATTTGGCGTAGCCTGTTTCTGTATGATTGGTACGTGCTTTGTTGGTCATGTCTTCCCCCTTCTCCCTACCCCAGACCCATCAGCCCCAAAATCCTGTGAGGAAATGAGCTGCGAGTTTGGGGCCTCGTGCGTGGAAGTCAACGGCTTTGCCCACTGCGAGTGCCCGTCCCCGCTCTGCTCGGAGGCCAACATGACCAAGGTTTGCAGGGGAGGCAGCTGTGGGGGGCTGAGCGGTGCACAGGGACGTGCGGCTAGCTCAGCTGCGTTGGGCTGGCGCAGGCAGCGCAGGAGTCTGCTGTCTCTCCTCGCCCCAAGAAGCAGGCGGGCAAGTTTGGTCACTGTCTTCCATGCGTGGGGAAGGGTGATGTGCAAGTTGTAGATGTCTCCCAGTAGAGCTGGATGCTCTGTGGCCATCTGGCACCTCTGAGCCGCTCTGCTCCTGGGCTTCCGCAGCCCGCCCTCGGGTCCCTCTGTGCAGAACGTAGCCTCTTTGCCTTGGAGGGACCCCTGCAAAGCCTCTGCCCCCCTCAGCATTTAGAGACCGGTTTATTTTGCCCAGGGCTTGGAGGAGGACAGAGGTGCCGCTCATGTTTCCCCTCTGCCCCCCAGGTGTGTGGCTCTGATGGTGTCACGTATGGGGACCAGTGCCAGCTGAAGACCATCGCCTGCCGGCAGGGACAGGTCATCACAGTGAAGCACGTGGGGCAGTGCCACGGTGAGTGTCTGCGGCTCTTGGTGCTGGGGCAGTGTCAGCTCCCTGGCC